GAGGTGAAACCACTGAGCCAAGTCCCCAGCCCATGTGTCTTTAGCTTTTGAAATTTCAAAAATTATTCTGTACTCAACTTGTATATATAGAAATATCTGTCCTTATTTTAAATTCTTATTTGGACTTTAAACTCCAGGGAATAACTGGGTTAAAGATCTTCACATTTAAAGACTTGTCACATGACTGCAAAGTTATTTCATAGAAAAAAATCTATCAATTCACTTGCTTTTGAATGATTTCAGAGTGTGTTTATCAACCGTTTGACAACAGCAATGTTCTAATTTTAGTTTCTGACTTGATAGCATGATAGTTTTATAAGATGGTGTGTCAGTGGGGCTGGGGATTTAGTTCAGCGGTTCGGTGGCCTGCCTTGCAAGTGCAAGGACCCAAGTTCAATCCCCGGTACCAAAAAAAAAAAAAGAAAGATGGTGTATCAGTGTTTTCAGCTTACATTTTTGTTTTGGATTTGAACATTTTAAAATTTTTATTCCCTTTGTGCCTTGATTTCTCATTTGTCTGTTGAGATTTTTTTTCTTCAGATTGTTGGGGATCAAAGAAAGTATCATAGAAATGACACTTGAAGGAAGGATTTTGATAAGCAGAAATGAGTGAAAAGGTCATTCTGAGGGGAAAACATGGTGCAATAGCCCAGAAATTGTGAAATCATGAAATATTTGTAGAGCAAGTCCGGCTGGATTAGGACCATACTGAATGTGCCTTAAATGTGATATTGTGGTTTTAGATTTAACACTTTAGATATGGGCAAACATGAAATGTGTTCCCATAAGTGGATGATATTATTTTTGTTTTTATAACTAACTCCTAGGGTAATGTAAAGTGTACCTTTTTTATTCTTTTAGGGGGTGTGGAGGGATTAGGAGTATGAACATAGACTAGTAGGAGAGATTGAATGGGAGGTTATTGCAAAGGTCTTATCAAGGTCTGCAGTGGGTGCAAAGTTAGATAAAAGGAATAAATTCCAGTGATCTATGGCAAATAGAGTGGCTATAATTAGCAATAATATGTTATATATTTAAAAATTACTAGAAGATTTAAAATGTGTTTTTGTCACAAGGAAATAATGAATGCCTGAAGTGATTGATATACTACCTTGATTTGACCATCCCTCAATGTGTACATGTATTGAAATAGCATATTGTACTCCTCTAACTTGTAGATTAGCATGTATTTGTTAGAAGTAAAATAAAAAACTTTTTAAAAAAGGCTATTGACTTGAACCAGGACAATGACAGTTGAAATGTAGAGTTGAGAATGAATTTGAGAATCATTTCTGTGGTAGGTTTGCAAGGTAAACTATGAATAGAATGCAATAGATGAGGAAGATAGAATAAAAGGTTGAGATTAGCTGAAAGTTGATGTTAATTTGATGAAATGGGAAATACTGGGGAACACATAGATTAGATGGTGAGAATAGGAGTCTGGCTTTAGATAGGGCAAGTATCTAAAAAAAATTCAACGATTTTTTGAAAATGAAATGGAGAATATTTAAGGCTGGAAAGAATGGATTTGCTTTCAGTACGTGGGGATAGTTTCAGCTTAGTACATGGGTGGGATGGCAGAGGGAAAATAGTGTGGAGATATGCCGAGGACCAAGACTGGACCCTTGAGATACAATTATGTCCAAATGGCAGGGTGATGGAGAGGCACTGCCTAGTCTGTTTAGAAAGAAGGAAGACAATCAGGAAGGGGTTGTCATTTGGAATCTAGTACTGAAGAAAGGTTCGTGGAATAGATGGAGGGTCATTCCTATGAGATACTGTGGACAAGTAAACCAGGATGACAGCTAAGAAGTTTTGTGTGTGTGGGGGGGATTGAGTTTGCTGCTCATATTTCTAATTGTTGTTGTTGTGTGTGTGTGTAAGAGAGAGTGACTGAGATTGCTGCTTATATTTTTTTGATTGTCTTTGTTGTTGTACACGTGTGTTTAAAGAGTGACTTTTTTTCCCTTTGGGACAAATTCTCAGTGGTAAAATTACCAATCAAGAGATTTGCACATAGGCTTTTGATACACATTTTTAGTTGCTTTCCTGGTTTTCATGCTTATTTTTTTTGTAAGTATGTAATGATGAGTAGTCTGTAGTTTTTTCTTTCTTTAATGCAATACTTATAGATATTAATAAAGAAGACACAAAAATGATCTTTGTACATCTATGAAAAAATAAAACAAAAATTGATAACAAAATAATTAAAGACTAACAGTAATTAGTATACTGTGTACTATAATCTTTACATAATAGCTAAAATGGTACTGAGTACAGTCTGGAGTTTTTTAAGGGCCTAGGTGGCCAGAGACCATGTGAGGAAATGTGAAAAACAGTAGCAATGGTTTCAAAAGCAAGACACAAAACTGGGCTACTCTAGTTGGGGAGTCTTTTCCAGATGGACACGGTCCAATTGGCATCACCTCCTTAGTTTTAGTTTTCACACTGTACATCTCTCATCTCGAATGCCAGTGGACCAGGGACCATTACATACTAGCTCATCATTCATGGGGACTTGAATAACTTCATAAAGAGTGTTCTTGTCTGGTACGATTGCAGGTACCTGTAAATGTGTGGCCAATGTAGTGCAACCTTAAGGGTCAGTGACCAGACTCTGAAGTTTAGAGGGAAGTTCTCTAAATTTAAGAAAACTGCTTTGAGTTTGGGAATGTATTTCCACTTTAAGGATTAAGGACACCACTTACTGGAACTGCATGTCTAATACTCTAAGGATGATTCAGATTGAACTTCTAAGTGAGTTATTCTCAAAAAATTATCCACATACTTTCTCTCTGAGACTATGTTTTGCTTTTCTTGGGGAGGATAGAAAGATTCATTAAGTGGGCTGGGGATTTAGCTCAGTGGTTCCAACGCCTGCCTCACAAGCACAAAGACCCAAGTTCAATCCCCAGTACAAAAAAGACAAAAACAAAAAAATCAAAAACAAAAAACAAAAAACCGAAAGATTCATTAAGAAATTGTACTTTAAAGTTGCTTGGTGAGATGGTCTTCATACCTATACAGATTGTTTCAACTCTCATTTACTACAAATATTCAAAGCAGCTTTGCAGTTTTGAGTCATTAAAATAAAATGTTTAATTTACTTCCTTGCCCTCCAACAAAATTCATTTCACAAAATTAACACGTTTTCAGGTACTGTAAATAATTCTACCGGGTTTTCTTTGCTGGATAAACTGTGGGCTGTGTCTGAATCACACACATTTTACTGCCTCTCTCCTGGCATGAGATTCATACACACCAGCATCTTCTCAGAGTGAAATTGACTCTCTCTATTCCAGAATTTCAATTGGCATGTGGTGATTCCAAAAGGGTTCGAGGCTCATTTTGATTGGCTATGATGATCTCAGCCCAGCCAGGTTCACTCTGTGAGGTCCCCTGTCCCTTCATGAATGGCCACAGAAGCTTTTACTCTTGGATCTGCATTCTAATAGCACTTCTTGCATGGACTGTGCCGAAACAATGCTTTGAAATAAGCATCATACCATGTGGCTTTTCTTTCTGCAGTTTCTGTTCTTTTTTTATTATAGGATCTGGAGACTCACCGCTAGAAGATGATGAAGTCGGGTATTCATACACTAGATATAAAGGTGAATGCTTTGCTTCTGTGCTAATGAGGACCTGCTGATGCCAGGGGAACTTTCCATTTTGCCCTGTGGAGCAAACTATAATAAAGTGACCAGGCAACACATTTAAGTTCAAATTACCTGTCTAGGAAAAAATTACTTTAAAATAAATGCACATATGCTCCCATTTCAAATAAAAAAGAAAAAAAAACATTTGGAAATATCTGAAGTGCTGTCCTTTAGCACCCCAATGGTCATTTTATTCTCTTAAGTTTCTTTACTGTCCTCACTCCTGCAAAGACAAGCTCTAGCTGATGAAAGTGAAAATCAAGCCCGATTCATACATTGCAGCCAGAATCAGCCAGAGTAAACCACTCAAGGTCAAATCTGGACCCAGTGCTGCTAATGTACTGAGCTGAATGGGGAATGAGCAAACTTGATTTTCATAAGCTCATTTCAGTATGCTGTTTCTGAGTCCAGTGTGGCTCCTAAAATATTAAGTAAAGTGTGTTGCTCAAATAAACTTTAATGATAAAGAACTGCATCTCTGCGCATTTCCAGCAATCCACCTCCAACAGGTGTAAAAAGCCTAATCAAGAAGATTCTATGCAGGCTCAGGTAAGTATGTCCACAATTATTTCTACTGCTAAAATGTTTCTCTGAAGTTTTAGAGAGCTCTGGCGAAAATGAAGGTAAATTTAGATGCTTTCTTTCTGAGACTCGTTCCTCTTACAGTGCAGAAAGAATCGGAAGAAAGTTGATTAATAAAGTTCTAATGTAGTATTTTGCCCTGGAAATTTGTCCCCATTCTGGTAAGAGGATACTGCTCTGTTGTGATAGGTCTGAGCTGTAGGGGATTCAGGGTAGTGCTGGTCAGCCTTCAACCAGAGTATCCCTCAGTTGTTTTCCATAGAAGCAAGAAATAGTTCTAATGATGACTGGGGTCAGTGCCTATACCCAGGTATTCCAGCCACATAGCACATTTGCTTTGACTCATGAATGCAAAAGCTCATTCCTATCATTATAGCCTAACCCATCAAGCAAAGCACAAACTTGTTAATGAGATGCTTGGCTTAAAGAGATGCTTTTTTTGTGTGTGTGGTACCAGGGAACAAACTCTGGTCCTTGTGCTTGCAAGGCAGACGGTGGAACCACTGAGCTAAATCCCCGGCCCCAAGAGATGCTCTTATTCATACAACTTTTTAACTAATTGAAGGTTTTAAAAAACAAATCTATTTTTTACCTTTGAGTCCTCTGTTGAAAACTTTATAACATATGTGTGCATAGTGCTCCTTTACATATAAGTAGGGGTTGCCTAGTGTCCTTGGGTCATTCTTCCCAGTGTCCACTTTGATCTTACAGCATTGCAAAGTAGAAGGTAGACCATAAGATTAAAATATATGCCTCTCTTAGAATCTGTTCTGAATGCCTAAGCATAGATCTTTCTTAGGAAATTCTTCCCACTGTCAGTTAAATTGTTTGTACCGATCATTTCACTACACATGTGTATCAATATATTGCCTTGTACACTCCACATGTATACAATAAAATTGTTTAAAAGATTTTTTTTGCAGTATTGGGGAGTGGAACCCAAGGACTCATACCTGATCTACCACTGAGCTATACCCTCAGCCCTTACATTTTTTAGTTTTAAAAATTAAAAGTGAGGGGCTGGGGATTTAGCTCAGTGGTTTCGCCACCTGCCTTGCAAGTGCAAGGTCCGGAGTTTGATCCCTGGTACAAAACAAACAAACAAAAAAAGTAGCCATTATTGAGTGAGTGTGTAGCTGTATAATCTTGAGCCACTGTGTAGTGTCCTACACAGAGTATGTACTTTGTGTTTTTTTCATTAAATTAAATTAGAATAAAAGAGAGAAAAAAGAATAATTTAATCAACATTTATCGTGTTCCCAGTATGGGACAAGCATTACTTTTGATTGTTTTACTTGGAATGGAATTACATATTTATATTAATTGAGGGCAGAGGAGACTCATGTAGACATATGTGAATATTGTCTCCTATTTACAGGTAGGTGACTTGCCCAGAGTCATACAGCTTGGGTCTGAGCATGTGTTTATGTTCACAGACAGTTTGCTAGTAAACTCCTTAGTCTGCTACAGAATTCTGCCTACCCTACAAACACCATTTAACTGGAATGCTTTCCACATTGGCCCAGGGGACAAAAAGTCTTTCTAAAGAATCCATTTAGATTTCTACTAAGTAAACCCTGTCTTAACTTCCTTTTTCTATACTTGTTTGTTAAACATTGTGTTAATTCACCTTAACTTACGATACTTGCATACACTTTAAATTCAAGTAATTCATTGACGTTTTAATTACTGTCACTGCAGAGCTATTAAACTGTCAAAATAGGTCCCAAAGATTTGTTTATGGAAGTCATCCAAAAGAAATTCCTTTTGCAACTAAAGGAAAGCAATACCTCTCCCCCAGCAGGGTGACAATGGTAAAGCTGTCTTGAATTGTGGGGAGCACTTTTAGGACAATGTAAAAACTCAGAATAGAGAGAAAAATCTGCTAATTGCATGGTGCATTTATGACAAACGTCTATGATGTATGTCTGCAGATCATATATGCATATAGTAGTGAAAATATATGTAGTTCATATGAAAGCCCTCAGAGGAAAGACACTTTTTCAAGGAAGATCTGTAGGACTAATGAAGGTTCCTTAAGTCTATATATACATGAATTTCATCAGTTATAGGGTAGGCCCTGAAGACATCACTTTTATCTTGAAAATCCAGGGAGTATTACTTGAGTTTTGAGTGTAGGACTTTCTGCTTGCTAAAAAATTTGTATGACAAAAGTATTTCAAAAGAAA